AAAAAAGCCCTTTTAAAAGTGATTATCTTTAAGCTTGATAATGTCATAAACCATATTGCAGACATATGAATGTTAGTTCTAGAACAAGGAAGAAAGAAGGAATATGAGACTGAGAAGGAGAGAAAGAAGTTAAGACTAAGGCTGCCCAAACTTAAATCAGCTCAAGGTGCCTGGAACCCTACTCAGAGTTTCAGCATATGCCTTTCAAGGTCTCACATGTGTTTGCTTTGGGACCAATGCAAAATGAACTCAAATTGTACATATTTGTTGAGCTGATCTATTTGCAATTTTAGTAGTTGTGACAGAGAAGCCAAACCTCATTCATTTCCCAGGGTCACAGCACCCTTCAAATTTTATCTGTCAATAATGCACACTTTACTCAAAAGCCCTTTCCTTATTTAACTGCAGTTTTCAGGATCAAAACTTGCAGCAATAAGATAACACATGATGACAAAAAGGGTCTGGGAAATTCTGTTCCTCTCCCTGACCCCTCTGCTTACCAGTCAAAAGTGGAATCAAAAATGGAGAGGCACCCTGCTGTGCCAGACGCCAAATAGGATGCCCAGGGACCACCAGAGGACCATGGCAAGCCACTTTGCAAAGGCTGCTGCAAATCCAGAGTGGGGAACAGAAAAGCATGGATAAATGATCAAAACCTCTACAGGAAGACAGACTGATCTATTTTCATAGATCAGAGGCAAGCAAGAGCTACATGAGAAAAGCATGGAATATGCCAGGTAGTCTGGAAAAGGGAGACTAGGAACTGAACTAAAAGAACAGGAAGGTATCTTTGATCTTTCAGCCCAGTGCTTAAACCACTCTAAGCATAGATGCATTTCCATCCATCTACTGTAGGCTTCTTCTGGCTGCCTTGTAAACCTCTGGTCTGACCACAGTCTCAGGTAGACTTGGACTAGCTGGATGTTCAACCTGATTTCTCATGGAAATTCCTGTATTCTTCTAACTGAACTCTTCATACAAGGTTCAAATCTGATTGCTGTGGTGATATTTAAACACAGGTTTAAATGCTTTGAGAAACCAGAGTTTATGTCAGTACCTGTTTTGGGCATTGCAGAAGTTGCACCACTCAAAGGAACAGATTAGCAACTCTGGATGGAAAAGATGCAGGCTCATGACTGTTACTCTGCTGGGTTGATTAGCACGTTAACTACTTGGGTGGATCTGCTCAGTTAATCTGTGTAACTATCCTGAGATCAGTCTTTTAAGCAAAGGAATTGGACAAATGGTCAGCTTTGCAATTCAGGTGGAGGTTTGAGGAAGCAGATATAATTCCAATAGAAGCTTAAATTACCCACTTGCATTGCAGTTGTTGGATTGTTACAGTTGCATCAGTTCGCAGGCAGTGCTTCTGGTGTAGGAAGTTGTACAACAGTTTCATTGCTCAGCTTCCAGCTACCATCCCACAATTAGCAGCTGCTGCCTATTCATCTGAAAAAGCACAACTATTTCAGTGTTTAGACAGCTTTAGACCCCTTCTAGAGGACATTTAGACTCATCCTCTTAGTTTGCACTGCTATGACTGTTCCTATGGCTGTGATCCACTAATGTGTCTTAGCTGAAGCAGGGTGAAACTAGCCTCTGAGGGCTGCTAGCTCCTTAAATTTACTGAGGATAACAGAACATCTGACTCTACAATCTCATTTACTTGTACAGGCTTTGCCTGGGTAGAGTCAAGAAAAAAATCTACTTACCTATGTCTCATGTTCTATATTTACAAAAGAAAGCACATATCTGTCTCCTCATGGTGCATGCAACATAATGAGAAAATACACACATTTTTTACATGTTTTTAAAAACATCCATAGAAACACAGGTTATTCTCCAGGTCTGGTGAGAGTAACGCATGTTAGCATAGAAATCCCAACAGAAAGGGACAAGATCCATTTGCATATTTTGGTTGTCCTTGAAACTTTATAGAAATGTGGAAGCCAAAGGGAAGGTAAATAGTTAAAAATATTTGTTTAGCAATGAGGTTATCTGTTCACAGAAACATGGAAAACCAGTGTGACTCTTCAGTCCAATTTGCTCTGAATTATTTCATCAGACACATCTGCACGATAGTTGTCCAAATAATTGATTTTGTGGCTTGCCTGTCAAATAAAAACTTGGAGGAAAATTCAGAATTTGAATCTTCTTGACAAATAAAAATTAGAAAATAATTTAATTTGACATGTCATGCTCTAGATAACACAAAATATTTCATTTCAAGAATTTTTACAGAAGCAGAAACACAAATATGTAGAGAGGGAATAGTTCCCAGATTTGCTGCTGGGAAGACAGTGGCCTCTTTATTCAGTATTTCAGGGGGTGTAGCACTTAGGACACAAGCCATCCAGATTCAACTCTGCCTTCTGTTTCTGTTGTTCATCTCCCAGAAAAGGGGCATAATCATCACATGTGGTTAAAAAGCAGCTCTCCAGTTGTCTGCTGATGCACTTTCACTTTGGATAAGTATTTGCAGCTCCAGCCCTTTACGGGGTTTATCACACATCAGGTGGAGACTCATTCCTGGACACTTTTCTGTGGTCTTTCTTTGGTAATCAGAGAATCACTGAATGTTTTGTGTTGGAAAGGACCTTAAGATCATCTAGTTCCAATCATCCTGCCATGGACAAGGACACCTCACACTAGACCATGTCACCCAAAATCATCAGGATAAATAACCCAAATACACTTTGCTGAAACTTTGTCTAGCTTCAGTAATTCCTCTACAAAACCTTGAGGAAGAAGTGCATATTTTATATATATTGTCTGACACAGGAAAGCTCAGAGGATCCAAGCAGATGGATTGTAGTAAAAAAGTTTTAGTTGTCATTGCACTGAATGTGTGCAGTACATAATAGTCTGCATTAGTATATGAGAGTTACATTAATTAGACATAAAATACATTCCTGGGCTGGGCAAGAGAAATTAAATTTTAAACTCTGTATTAAACTGGCTGCCATTAAATGTTTTGCACTTAAGATGTACAGAGTCATACCTCCTAAAAATATATTTACGCAAATTCATTGGGAATGTAGTGATCCTTGCCTCTAAAATATGACAATTGTACACATCTGTATGCCAACACAGTTGTCAGTTAGCTATGCTTAAATTCAAGAAACTGTGTAGAGACACTTTTAAGGAGTCACTTGAAAAAGATCTAAGAAAGCATGCTGTTTCATGTGTTGCTGATGATGGTGCACAAAAAGCCTGCCTGGAAGAAGACAAAACAGTGTTAAGAATGCTGACCTAAGCAGATGAATGACCAGTGCCTTTAGGGCACTGATGTTTCATTACACAGACAAAAATGGACAAGACCATCACATGCATTCACATGCAGTGGGAAAGAGGAAAAATTCTAACACTATTTTAATGTCAAGGATCTAAGCCAGGATACTTTTGAAATATCTTGGTAGATCATAAGATAAGGAGCAAAAAGGAGGGCACATAGTAGCTTTCATCTTTTTTACTCTTGAAGAAATCAATCGGTTAATAGAAATAAGTCATATTCTAGATCACACCAGACATGACTGCAGTCTACTGCCACCATCCTTAGACACATATTGAAACACAAAATGTAGTCAAAAGTGATATCAAGACCTTTCTACTTGGATGCAACAACTTATAATTGGGGCACAACTTAGTGCTGTATATTACTGGTAACTTATGGGGGCAGAAAGAAAAAAACCTAACCAAACCAGCTTCTGCTTTGTGTAAAACTTCAGCCTGCTAATATTGTACTTAGGACAAAATGCCAGTGGCCAAGTTTTCAGCAAATAGGAACAACCCAGTCCACTAGCCAGACAAAATGCCTGCTCTGATACAAGCAGGGAAGCCAAGAAAATTAGCCAGTTACTTAAGAAGCTATCCAGATTGTGAGCCCATAAGACAGTCACACCTTTAGCCAGGTAGCCAACTTGCCTGACTTCTGTGAAAGGTTTTTGAAGTGCCATTGTATCTTCAGGAAAAATAAAAAAATATAGAAGAGAGGAAAAAGAAAAAAGTTTAAAAAGTTACCAGTGAAAAAGAGATATTTTCTGGAAAATGTGTTTTGGTGGAAAAATTGTGACCAGGTCAAGATGCAATTCTGTCTGTGGTTCTTAAACAGCCTGTGTTGTCTCAGGTCTGGTAAAATAACAAAATACTGTCAATACCGAAAGGGAGGTATGCGATAGAAATATGGTACGTGATGTTGAAGGGCTAAAGAACTGGTGAGGTAGATGGTAGTAGGACTCAAAGGCCACAACAAGAACCACATATGCCTGAAGTATAACTGACTTCAGCCACAGTCCAAAACTTGGATATTTTATTTTTGTAAAACAACCCCTGTATTACAACTTACACTTGGCTTGAGCACTTGTGTGTCCTAAATTGACCCTCACTTGAGGCCAGTACTGAATAGAAATCTTCTCATTTGCTTCACTTGGCCTTAAATGTTCCTTTTTATGATGCTTCCATAACGCATCATAAAGACTTAATAGCTGTCACTAGAACTTTATGGAACTCAATAGTCAGAAATAAAAAGAGCCATTGAACTGTGATGGACCTCTTACAGGCCCTAGAGTACCTTGGTGGCTTTTCACTAACAGAAGCCAGTAGGAATATATAGGAGGAATGAGGCACATTCTTTGCAGCATAAATCACACAGCACCGACAAGCTGGGTAGTAAAGTGTTCTGTATCACTGAAACAGTAACTTTACCTTTAAAGAAAATCTTCACTAGTGCTAAATATCATTCCTGTTGATCAGAATTTGCAAATCCTGCCACATACCAAAAGACCAGTCAGTTTTCGGCTCAGAGGACTGCAGTTGGTATTGGAGTCTTTGATTTAGCTAAGGCAGACCTTGACAGTATCCCCATTTTCATATCTGTATTACAGAAATACTTTGCATGCCTCTAGTACCTTTTATCAGAGGACTGATCTCCTTTACAGACAGTAATGAATCAATGCTCACAATGCCAATGTAAATTGGGATTTGTTTTCCTTGTTCTGCAGATGGGAAAGAATGAAGCACAGAAATGATGCAACGGTTTAAAGAAGGCTTGGTAGAGCCAGGTATGGAATACAGATCTCCTGACACTTGAGCCAGTGCCTTCACCTCACTATCTTTGCCCTTTTATCTGCATGCTGTGCAACAGCCATTCAAGCTGGACATGTACAAAAAAAAAAACGTTTTTAAGAATGGATGCTTAAACTCCTGGCTTCATAGCTAAGCTCCAAGTGTGCTAACTGTCCAGAACATCATCAGGCATGAGATTTCACTAGTTTCAAAAAGCAGAACTTAGTGACTAAATAAGGATTAAGGACCCTAGTTGTATCCATGCTTTCTTCTTTTTTTTAATCTTTCCCTTTTTCTAAAAAAGACTTCTAAGAGGCCATGCTGAGTGTGAAAGTATCACAGAAAATAAAGATATTGTGAAAAGAAAAATAAACTGCTTTTGCTTCACTGGTGTCTGTATGTCTATCTGAGATGTCATTATAACCAAGGCTGATTTTACTTGTAAATGTTTGGCAAAGTTTCCAGGAAATACATGCATGGATTAGAACCTGGCAGTATGTGGTTTTGAACATCAGTGCCCAGGTTTTTTGCATAGGTCAACTACCAATACAGCATACTGTACCATGTGGTCACCTTTTATACCCTGCCCAATGACATTATCTTACTTCTAACTTACACCAACTCATATTCACCTATCATGTGTATGCCAGACAATCACTAATATCTGAAAAATGCAGGGAAACCATAACTGATGTCTTGTGATACTCAAGTTCTACTTGCACCAACACCTTTGTTGTGGTTTGGTATCCCATGACTTGGGTATATTCCTTGATGCATGAACACATGCAAAACAATATTCCAGTGCAAATGAACAAAAGCGTGTATGACCTTGAATACATTCCTGTGCCTGCTCCTCCAGTAATTCTGTGCTCCTGAGCACTCTCTTTGCTTTCATAACATGTTTGAGAGTGTTTCTGTTCCAGTCTACTTATTTGTTCCTCCTTGCTCACAGGGAGACATTGCCTATGTGAATCCACTGATTTAAGGGACACAGCTTCATATCCAGCCTGCAATGTGAAACACTTCTGGGCTGAAAGCTGTTACTTTTCATCTCCTATTGTTTCTTAAATTCAGGCTTACAGAAGAGTTCTCAAAATTCCTACCAGTTTCACTCAGAGCCACAACTGCCTACAGTTAAAAAAAGAAAAAAAAGAAAAAGAGCAAGGATATAAAACTTTCTAGGTTAAACCAAGATAACTGGATAACCGGAGATAATAGACCATTTTACTACACAGGGAGCTTCCTTTTGCTCTTGTAGATGTCGTTTGAGAGATCAGCATGGATTCCCCCATGATAGCGCTAAAGAACTAGTCTGAATGCCACTATTTAGCCTTTTGTTTGGTTTGTTGTTTTTTTTTTTAATGTATTTATCTTTATCATAGCTGCTGCTGTGTTCTGCCATAACTTCAAGCCATGTGGACACTATCTACAGGAGTCCACCCCTTTTAGCTATGGATTTTTACTGAAACCTGAAGGAAAATGAAGTCCCACTAGTATTAAAATACATCGTGAAGGTAAGTCACTCTAGCTTGAAGGGCTTGTTTTTATTCTATAGAATCTTCTTTTTTACATTAACAATTCCTTTACTTTCCTGTCTGAACAGCCTTTTTGACATTAATATTACACTTAAAATCCAGAAGTCTTTTTTTTTGATGTTATCTCTGACAGAAAAATTGTTGTCAGTAATTACACCGATAGATTGATTTGCAGGTCACCACCCCACACACACTAACGATGCAGTTCCTGGGCAGAAAAAAGCAACAGAGGAAAATAAGCACATCATTTTCTTTTGATGCCTGACTTTACAGACTACTTTAGTTCAGAACTTGGTTTTCCATCTTTCCTCATCTGTTCTTTCTTACAAGTCTCACTGTTGAACTTTGAGGAAAATAATTCCTAAATACTATTCAGCTAATTCATATTATCAGTATTTTCAGGTGCTTTTGATTTTAAATCCTGAAGTATCTTCCCTGATAGTACTTTTAAGGTTCATGGTCATAACATAAAAATATTTCCAGATACTTATGTAGACAATATATATGCCTGACTTTAACCCTGTTACAGTGCAGCTATTTTACTTCTGTGCTGAAATGTGGTTGTCTTTAAAAGTCAGGAAAATAGAAGAGCATTTTGGAATATTAACGCCAGAACAGGACATTCAGTGCAGCTGAGCAATGACGGTATGCAATTGGTTACTGCAATACCAGCCTCACCGTTCCTAATGTCCAAAGGGGAAAGCAGAAATTTATCATCCTGTTAGTTAACTGTATTAGCTAATCATGACCCCAGGTTATGTATATAGCAAAGGTATTTTCTTTACCTCATACAGGTGGTTTGAGGCTTGATGTCTGAGTTCTTCTAGTGGAAAGCCACTGATACAGTAATCCAGTATACTGGCTAAGGATCCCAAGCTGTTGCAAATCAATGAGTGGAGGGTAGTGGTGACAAATATGTTGTTTCTATTTGCTGGGCAAGGTTATGGGACTTCTCAGGGACTTAATCAATATAGACAGTACTGGTCAGGAATATGCCACTTCTAACATGCAATTAGAATCTACAACTGTAATCAATCTTTATAAAAGTCTGGAACCAGATTGTCCGCTCCTGGTTTTGCATTTCTCAGTAAAATGCATTTAATAAAGACTAGATATCTTCTAGCCAAATATATGGTAATATTGAGCAAAGACATTCTCAGATACTTGTAAATATGCTCGTAACAACAGATTTACTGTTTGGGCTTTTGGTTCTGCAAGACATACTTTCTTTTCACTTACCTTAGGGCACATGCAAACTAAATAATGGAAAGCAGTGCAGAAATTCCCAATTTAGCTTCTCCAGATGGCTCTGTGTGGAAGATAAATGCTCAAGACACTTGCTGAGGTCCAGAAGCAACATAAGTGCATGATAAACCCTTCCAATCCACAAGGGTTACTACAACCTTTTGGGACAGTCCAGATTTTAGTAGCCCTATCTAAAGTGCATTGCACATTCCTTGTGAGCAATGGTATGTTTGACATGAGCAATGAGCTGGGCCATGCTCTGGGATGAAGCGTGATGCCACAGATCAGCTGTCCCACACCTCTGAGCACAGCGCAGCGGGGTAGCAACTCCTGGGATTGCTCCACTGCCTCCCCACCTAACTAGACACACGGTGACATGGTGGAAGAGGTTGCTGAGGACACAGACTGTCTGAGAAAAACATTGTGTGTTTGTCTGTGTGTCCAGACTTTTAGCAGCTGCAAGTGCCTGTCTTGGCTGAATGTCCTCTAGCAACAGCCTAGAGCAACAGTAGCTCTAGTTTCTTTCACAGTTCTCTGCCCTGTGCCGCAGGCAATAAAACTAGTGGTCTTTACTGCAAACACCTGAGGCAAAATTTAATCCCGTGTGTTCAACTCACAGTGTATGTTTTCCAGTTGTCCACAACCCTTCTGTACTTAGATGGGTACATCCTGGGTACATGCTGTTTACCTACAAGGAATCCGAAGCATTTAGTGGCATGCCAGCATCAGGGTGATGTGCTCCCTGCACTGCTGGGCTGAAGCTGCCCCCTGGTTCTGATGTGATATCCTGTTGAACAGCTACCAGTGCTCTGGTCTTCCCATCCTCTTGATCCATCTGAATTCATAATACTCTTTTGGGGGTGAGCTGAGGCTACATCATTCTGTGTCTGTTTGAAAAGTAATGGTTTTTATGTGATTGCATAAGGATGCCCTGAAAAAGCAATTCTGATATAACCTGAGAAGTGAATTTATAACAGTATAGGAAATCTGGTATGGACACTGCCATCACAGCTTTGATAGATGAGTGCCAACAAAACTCACTCTGTAGTTCAAGACTATTACTCTGGCTATTCCTTTTGCTCTTGATTGCATAGTTCAGGAGGAAGAAAACCATAATTATTCCCCTCCTTTCCAAAGAGGGACATAATCAGCATTCAGACAGTTACTTTGATGTATAATTTTTTTCTCCCCTGTCTAGCTTTGGGCTTTGAATAATTTAACACTCTAAAATGAAAAGACATTTTTCTTCTATAAAATAAGGTTCATGGGCAGTATATACTCTAGTTTAGGGAGGATTCCCTTTTTCCTTTATGGAAGTTTCCTAACAGAAATGTATTTGTGTTATGAACATCCAACGCAGTAAAACTAACTGCACAAACTCTCTAGATTTGACCTGTACAAAACTTCCAGAAGATTCTAAGATTCTTTGGTTTTCATCCTGTCAGATTGTCCAGGCAGAGATGTAGTACTGTTTCAACTGGGCTGCTGGACATCTGTAAACAATCTCTGGGCAGAAAGATTGGAACTGGGAAGACATGGAAGTAAGGAACTCCTAAAATGTAGATATCTAACCTAGGTGCATACAGTGTGTTGTAAGGAAGCCTCCGGAGCATAACTGAGTGTGCTGGTATTACTTCCCTGCATCAGTTGCATAATTACCTACCTTTTACTCCCTCTGGGTGCCTAAATAAGGAAACTGTACCAAGTTTTTCATTAGATAATTATGTGAAGATAATGATAAAAATATATAACATGTAGGCAAGCACTTAGGCAAATCTCTATCTACACTTAAATTAGCCACTAAATTCCAAAATAGGAGTATCTACATAACATTTTACATTGCTTAAAATCACTTCTCCTTATAGAGAAACCGTTAATTTCATGTTGAAGTGTAGATGAGTTACTTTGCACAATCTTCTATTGTCACAGATTTGACATTTTTTCTCAGGCCCTGAAAACTGCTTTTATTTCCTGATTTAGATTTTTAGCTCTTCGGGGCAGAAATCATGTTTGCGTGTGTTTGTACAGCAGGAACAGGTCTTGATATATAATTGTGGTTTGGAAACATTACCACAATATAAATAGTACATTAATCATTAATTATACCGTTGATGCATTGCTATGTCTTAAGCAGTGGCACTGTCTATGACTCTTGATCTTCTCACAGAGATGAGGTCAAGACATTTCCATAATTGTAACATTTGTCTGAAGTTGTGGTTGCCCCAGATATTCTTGCAACAGATTCAAAATCAGAGATTGACAATACATTGTGAATGTGAGTCTCCTGAGGAAGCATCCACATCACATATTGGCATATATTGTGAAACTTCAGGTTAAAAATTACTACCTAAGGTATAGTGCATTAAGTAACTTGCATACAGAATTTGATGCATGTGAGGCTCTCAGACTGGTTTGCAAACATTATTTGGCTTCCTGTAACGTATAGAAATGTTATAATCTCAATTTAACTTCAGAATAAAGTATTGTTTGATCAGCACATTCATAAAATGTAAGAAAGTGGGTAAGCTCGTCCATTTGCTGTGTATAAGAAATGGGTAAATGCTAAACTCAGCTAATCAGGTGCAGATATATACCAATTTCTTGTGATAGCCAATGCCTAAAGTATCAAGCTCACTGTTATTTGACCTGGATTGA